AGGTCGTATCAAGAAGATAATGTTGGACGTCTGCATAAATCAGATTTGAAAAGGTATTCAATGAGAGATAAGTTAGAAAAAACTATCATGTAGTTTCTCTCAGGTCAAGAATCTTCTCTGATTCCAGAAGATACTGGTGAGTTATCTTTCTCTTGTAATTTATCAGATAAATCTATTGCTATTTGAAAGGGAACGAGAATTTGTACTAAGCATCTATATCTAACTTTTTTTTCTATGACTCTCTATCTCCATCCTATATAACTTTTGTTTTATTTGTTTCCTCTGTGTCTATTCTACAGGATTGGAGAAAGACTTTACGAGATCCCAAGTGGAAGAAACCATGATTGAAGAAATGAGAATATTGACAAAAAATGAAACATGAGAACTTGTTTCACCTCCACAGAGGAAGAAGATAATTGATTGCAAATGGGTGTTCACAGAAAAACATAAAGTAGACAGATCGATTGAAAGGTACAAAGCTATATTGGTGCTAAAGGATTTATTCAAACCTATGGAATTGACTATCAGGAGACCTATGCACCTGTTGCGAAAATGAACACAATCAGAATACTTTTGTCTTGTGCAGGTAACCTTGATTAGATGTACAACAGTTTGATGTAAAAAATGTGTTCTTCCATGGAGACTTAGAGGAAGAGATATACATGAAAATTCCACCTGTATTTGAAGAAAAGAGGATGCAAGGAAAAGTCTGTAAATTAAAAAGGGCTTTATAAGAATTAAAGCAGTATCCAAAAGCATGGTTTAAATGGTTTAGAAGAGTTATGATATCTTTTGGATATCAACAAAGCAATGTTGATCATACCCTATTTATCAAACATCGTGAGGGTAAGGTCACTCTTCTCATTGTTTATGTAGATGATATTACGATGATTGAAAATGATACCGAAGAGATGACTCGGTTGAACGGATCTACAAAAATTGCAATATTTTTTGAGAATTGAAGTTGTCACGTTCAATAAAGAGATCTTCATTTCTCAAAGAAAATATATTCTAAACTTATTAGAAAAGACTAGTATGATGGGCTGTAAACCAACGGAATCACCTATTGAAAGCAACCACAAACTACAAGCACGTAATGGTACATAAGTTGACTTGGGAGATACCAAGACAGTTGCACAACTCATTTATCTTTCAATACCAACCTGATATAGCATATGCAGTTATCTAGTGAGCCGATACATGCATGAT